AGCCCAGGATACGATTGGCCTTCTAGGCTGTAAGCGCACGTTGCCGGCTCATGCTCAGCTTTTCACTCACCACCACTCCCAAGTCCTTCTCTTCAGAGCTGGTCTCAAGCCATTCATCTCCCAGCCTGGATTTGTGCTTGGGGTTGCCCTGACCCAGGTGCAGGACCTTGCACTTGGCCTTGTTGAACTCCATGAGGTTTGCCTGGTCCCACCTCTCCAGCCTGTCCTGGATGCCATCCCGTCCCTCCAGCGTGTCACCCACACCACACAGCTTGGTGTCATCAGCAAACTTGCTGAGGGTGCACTCGATCCCACAAGAGATGCCATGTGGATTTGAGACACCACTCAAAAGCATCTGGGTCCTTTAACCAAGAATGGATTATATTCATTCATTCATCTGTGGTCAACTTTATAGGGAGATTAGCCAAGAACAGTTCAATAGCAGCCATCAACAGGTATTTTAAACATTCTCCACAGTACTTAAATGTTTCAAGAGGAGCACTGAGAAAACATGAGCTAAACTGCTTGTAGCAAAAAGAAATGGAACAATCCTTTCCAGACCCAAGCAACACAGATAACACCACCAATGTACTCTGCTGATACTCTTGTCTTTGCCATCTTTTACAAAATCAGCATCAACTACTGTAAAACTGATGGAAAGATCCCAAATACATGGAGAATAATCTGATTTAAATACCTTCAGTGAAACAGCTGCTGTCTCTGCTGTTTCTGACCCAAGAATATCTTCCCAAGAACACAAATACAGAATATTGCTGGGGGTGTATTTCTCTGGATATGATGTTGGGTAGAATGGATTATCAGGTTTCATTGCTCCCAGAGCCCACAGAGGCTTTTCTCCTGAACACTTATCTTTCTGAGGATTACTGACTAGACTATGGCACCAAAATCTAACAGGAAACATCTAGCTCCAAGCTAGATTAGAACCTACTTGAATTATGCAGCCACAAGGATTTCAGTTCATAAGGCAAAGGGGCAGGGAACAGTGGCAAGACATCCACATCTTTGCTGCCTTGACTTTAAATGAAAGAGTGAATGTACCACGTATAATTTTCAACTCTGAGTACGTTAAAAACCTGAGGAACTTCACTACTCTTGAAACAACAACGTGTCCTATCTTGAGGCACCTGCTGGACACCTCCAAATTAGAATATATCATCTTCTACTCGCCTTCTTTTCGAGGGAGGGAAATGGGAATATCTGAAAGTAAAGCAAGTTTTAAACAGGTCTTTAGGGATGACAGGGTGATGAACCCTCTGTCACCCATTAAGGTATCAAAGTACATGGAGTGAGACCCAGATGTTCAATACAAGATAAGTAACAATGACTGCCTGGAGATTTGACATTTAATAATAAACTATTAAGCAAAAAATAGCCTCCTGCATGTGCCTACGTGGTTTTTTTCAGCTTTTTAGGAGAAAAACCTCTGTGCAACAGCTGAGGGAAACCCAGTTTCCAACAAATTGACACATCCTTGCTATAAGATGGATCAGCACTGGTAGATGCAATAACTCTCCAATGACTTCAGGATAAGTATTACTTTTTTTTTTTTACACTGGAAATTAATAAAAAGTATTGAGTTTTACCCTAATTCCTGACTATCTCAAGGCTGTGGCTGCTATTTCCACTAGTCCTCAAGAAGCTATGACTTCAGACTGTTTAAAGTTAATTTAAAAAGTAGGACGGACCTTTATGACTCTGCAGAGTTCCATATTTCAGGCTTCACCATGGCTAGTGGTATATAGATGATTGTCATTCGACAATCTGCTCTCATAAGGCCCTACCTGGAATACTGCGTCCAGTTCTGGAGCCCCCATCACAAGAGAGACCTGGTGCAGCTAGACCGAGTCCAGAGGAGGCCACCAGGATGATGCAAGGGCTGGAGCAGCTCTGCTGTGAGGACAGGCTGAGAGAGTTGGGGCTGTTCAGCCTGGAGAAGAGAAGGCTCCGGGGAGACCTTCTAGCGGCCTCCCAGTACCTGAAGGGGCTACAAGAAAGCTGGGGAAGGACTTTTTATAAGCGCAGTTAATGACAAAACAAGGGGAAATGGGTTTAAAGTGAAAGAGGGGAGGTTTAGATGAGATATTAGGAAGAAGTTCTTCACTGTGAGGGTGGTCAGACACTGGAACAGGTTGGCCAGAGAAGCTGTGGCTGCTCCTCCCTGGAAGTGTTCTCGGCCAGGCTGGATGAGGCTTTGAGCAACCTGGTCTAGTGGAAGGTGTCCCTGCTGCTGGCAGGGGGGTTGGAACTGGATGAGCTTTAAGGTCCCTCCCAACCCAAACCAGCCTGGGATTCTATGAAAACAGAGAGCTCCATGTCCCCTTAGTTGTTCAGTAACTTCGCCCAGGCTGCTTTCCAACCACCTCACCTGTGAAATCAGGCAGGGCCTTATCATCCACCAAGAGGAGAGGCCGCACCTGCTTTTCCTCCAGAAGATTTCTGGCCGCTGTCAGAGATGTGAAGATCTCATTTTCGGTGATGTCAAATCCCAGTTTCATCAGCCTCTCCAGCAGGTCTCTCTTGCATTCCTTCGTTGTGTTCGTCACAAATCGAATGGTAACCGGAGCCTTGCGCAGCCTGATGGATGAAGAACAATTCATGTTGATAAATATCTAAAGGGAGAGTGTCTAAGAGGACGGGGCCAGACTCTTCTCATTGGCACCCAACAAGAGGACGAGAGGCAACGGGCTAAAACTGCAGCACAGGAAGTTCCACCTGAACATCAGGAAGAATGATTGACTGTGAGGGTGACTGAGCACTGTAGCAGGTTGCCCAGAGAGGTTGTGGAATCTCCCTCCCTCCCTGGAGATATTCAAAAACCATCTGGACAAAATCCTGGTTGATGTGCTCCGGGAGTCCCTGCTTGAGCAGGGTGGTTGGACTAGACGATCTTCAGAGGTCCCTTCCAACCTCAACCACTCTGTGAAAAGTCAGGAAAGCTGCGATTCCCAACTCCACAGCAGTAGCAAACACATCTATGATCAACAACAACTAGTTTGAAAAGCCTTTTAATTCAAACTAGATAATAAATAAAACCAGCCCTGTATTCTGGATCAACAGCATCTTGAACTCAAATAAATAAACAAAAGAACCTTGTTGATAAATTAATACCTTGAACTCCACATAATGGGTGAATTTCACAGCAGCTGAGGCTCATTCAGAGAGGATGTTCTCGGAGCCTATGTTACCTGTGTGGCAATTTTATGTCGGCTTTCGCAGCCATTTCTCCCTTCACTGAGGAACACTTGATAGCACATAAAAACACCTTATTGCCCTACACTGACTGTACATGCTACCAAACAATCAAATAATTTTAAGTGACAACTTTAATGGTGTTCCCTTTAATTATTCCCCCACCATCACTTTCTCTGTTCGTTGCTATAGAAACAAAGACTGGCATCAGGACTGCACGGAGAACATCAGAATAAAGTTGGTCAAATGCTGGAGACTTGCTTGCACCTGCCACTTTTCTCTTGTTTGCTAGACACACTGACCCTTCACAACCATGAACTGATAAGTCCCCTGGTTGCTAATAAAATAACAATTAGTTTGTTGGGTTTTTTTTTTCCTATATGGGCCTCAATACTAAGGAGTAACCCTAAAAATTGAATCTATCCATTTGTTCTCTAAACAAACTGCATGTCAATCATCTCAGCTTCTCTTCAGGAAGGACAATGACATGGATTAGCACAAAAGAGTGTGATAAAGTGTTTTTTTGAAACCTCTAAGCAAAAAGACCCGTCTGCTCCTTGCAGTGAAATGACACCTGCTCTCCATACGTGGGACAGCAGGTTGAAGCTGACAAACAGCATCAGGTCCTCTCTGCACCTTATCCCCTCTATAACCCTCTCCCTTACCAAACCCAGTATGGGGTCTGCATGAGCAGGATTCACTAGGAACCAAGCAGAAGCAGAAGAAAAAGGAGAACCCCTGGCTTTATAAAACAGTTTGTCTTCTAATTCTACAGAATTTCTTTTGTCTAGTCTACTGTCTGCAGGTTTGGAGGTGAGAAGCAGACAGGACAGGTACTGAGCTCTTCTTGACAATATCACCACTCTTTTATATGTGTGCGTGTGTATATACATATATATATATATATATATGTATATATACACACACATATATACACACACACACATATATATATGGATTTTTGAGAATGCTGACTCTCACCTGGCACAAGTTCTCCCTGCAGCAGGAAACACCAGGCAGACAATGTCCAGTGAATAAATGGGTAACGCATCAGCACCCAACACTTTAGCAGTTTTTACTTCCTTGCAACTTTACATCTTTAGGAGATAATAATTTCCACAGAATTATTTGTGAAAAGAAATGCAGAGTTTCCTAATCTCACTGTGAACTTTTCTTCTCAGCAACAGTCTGGCTTTATAAAAACCTAAGCAGCCAATACAACTCCAATAAAAACTTCTTATCCTTAATTCAACCCTATTCCTCTCCCCTGATTAATTCTTACTGTTGCAGCATCTTAAGGTGTCCTCTCTCACTCACCATGGTAACATTTATCACTTTGTGTTTTTCTTCATCCACTGCAAGACGAAAACACAGGAAAACAGTGTTGTAACACAGTCCAAAGATCCCTGGCATTGCATATCCTATTTTGCCACTGACTCAGCCAGATCAAGTCATTTTACTGTACCTCAGTTTCTTTCGGCCCCCTTTTATCAGAAGAGAAAGAAGTACTTTAACTGTCCTTTTTATTAATGTGTTGAAATTCCTACAAAAGAAGGGCTGTACCTTCAAATGTTTCTCAAACTAAAGAACGACTGAAGTTGTTTACCTAGCAGAGAAACTTTAAAAATAATAAAGTAAAGCTTGGCTGAAAGACCAAATGAAATTAAAACTCTGCAAAGGATGCCTTGCTCACTAGGTCAGATTTTTTGGGGTGATCTTATAGTGGCCTTCCAATACCTGAAGGGGGCCTACAAGAAAGCTGGGGAAGGACTTTTCATAAGGGCAGTTAATGACAAAACAAGGGGAAATGGGTTTAAACTGAAAGAGGGGAGGTTTAGATTAGATATTAGGAAGAAGTTCTTCACTGTGAGGGTGGTCAGACACTGGAACAGGTTGCCCAAGGAAGTTGTAGATGCCCCCTCCCTGGAAGTGTTCTCAGCCAGGCTGGATGAGGCTTTGAGCAACCTGATCTAGTGGAAGGTGTCCCTGCTGCTGGCAGGGGGGTTGGAACTGGATGAGCTTAAAGGTCCCTTCCAACCCAAACCATTCTGTGATTCTATGATTATTTTCTCTGTTATTCCACTTCAGCTCATCACAGGCCTAAGGTCTCAGACATAGAAACAGGTTCCTGTAGTTGAACAACGCACCAAGCATCAGCTGAGCTGAAGTGACTCTGGTGCATGTGGGGTAATTCAGGCTAACTTAACTACTGTCTGCTTTGGCTAAGGCTGCAGTCCCACGTGAATTAGCAGAAACAGTCTGAATATTGTCTTTTTCTATCTCAAAAAGACTTAGAAAAGACCTAGAGAGCAACTTAGGAAACCTGCAGGGGCTCAGGTGATACAACTCAGGCATCTTTCCAACACCTATGGTATTGTTATTAACACAGGTGTAAATAAAAGCAGAATCTGGATGTGTATTTGCTTATCCATGACAGCTGATCCATAAAAAGGTAGAAGCTGCAGGCCTGTTTACTTAAAGAACTCCCCCTGTGCAAACAGCACTGACACAACCTATGAGAGGAAACAAGAAAAAGGTTATCTTGCCTTTTAAGAGCTTCCTGAGCTCCTGGCACAGCTGAGTCTTCAACGTGAAGTGTGCCGCTGAGATCCACCAAGACAGCTTTCAGCGCGCGCCGAGCTGCCATCCCTCCTTCCCCAGGGAAAAGGCAAATAAATGAAACGACAAAAAAAATGGTTAGCAGACAATGGATAATAAAAATAAGGAACTGAGTTAAGCGCCTCATTTGTGCCAAGCCCGGTATTACTCAGAACATTACTCGCAGTATTAAATGAGCCCCTTTAGACAGTGAAAATAAAAGGCGGTGTTTAAAAAAAAATACATAATTGATGGGGTGGTATTTTCCCAAAGACTCTATATATGGAAATCAGGTGCTGTTTGTTTTTTAAGTGCTTTTACTTGTGTGCATCAAAAAGAATCCTCTAAACCACTAAGGCTGTTGGGAAGAGGATCGTTAGGTCTGGTCCTGTTGGTTCAAGGCCTCGGCAAGAACATTTCGGTGAGTCCCATCGACACCGACGGCGCTGTTCAAGTTAAAATAAATACAATATTACTAATATTGTTAATTTTATTGTGAGATCTATGGGTGATCCAGCCCACAATTTGGCTGCCCTGACTCTTGGGTTATTCAGTGATTGACTCCCAACCTGCCAGTGTGGATTTAGGCTGGAAGCCCTCAGGGCTCAACGATATTCAGCACCCCAAAGGGCTACTTGCTCCTCTTGCAAAGGTTGTTTTACAACAAACTTGTGTGTCACACAAACAGGTACATGAGACTCAGCCCAAAACTGAAGCCAGCATTCAAAGGGAAAAGGCACCGGGGAAGAAAAGAGTGAGGTTACGTGCAAGTCATCTGGCTAAAAAGCTGTCTTTAGAAACCCTTAGTACTTCTCCTCATGTGTGCTGCAAGTGCTGTGTTTCGCTCCACAAGCAAATTCTGCTGAGCTAGTTCTTAGGAAATACCCAACACAGAAAAATTTCTCCAGTTTGTTAGACAATAACAACTATCTGATCTGTCACCCCTAACAAATCATCATGATTTTATACTGAGCTGTTTTGGTTGCAGACGGAACACGGAACATGTACGTGCTTATAAAAAACACGCAGAGTGGTCAACACCATGATTAGAATCTGCCTCAATAAATTTAATTTTCTCTCAGGACAGTTTTATCTTTGCAGAGAGTTTTATCAGTGATCAAGATCATGTGAACTTGATGTTTCAGCTAAAAGACACAGATGCAGAAAATTC